AAACTGGACTTAATGAAAATAGATATTATAAAGAGACACAAGACAGACCCCCACAGTGGCACCAAAAAACATACTTCCAGCCAGACATTCTACTACTTGGTCCAATTTGGAGCCCTGCCTCAGTCGTCCCCAGGGTGACCCTGAGGCTACCTGGAGTCCCAACGCTATCCCCAAAGGGTCAACAGCTCCAGCAGGCCTGAGTCTCAAGTGTTTGCCAACACTTCCTCCTGCACCATTTTACCAGGGCCATGCATGTTGTAATGCTTAATATTTGCTTTAAATGAACCTTCCTTCCTATCACACATACGCGTGTGTGTGTGTGTGTGTGTGTGTGTGTGTGTGTGTATATATATATATGTGTGTGGAGTGTGTTCAATATATGTGTGATGCATGTGAGATTTATGATATATATTACATATATCATATACAGGGTCATTCCAGCAATAACAATGAGGTCATGGTTTTGATGTGCTATATGTCCCAGGTTTATTTTCTAATGCACATTAAAATAAATACATAACTATTAAAAAAGTTTCTTCACCAAGTAAGTCATTGCATTTAATTTTCTCTTTCTCCTTCTCTCTTCTTCTGGAGCACTGCGGATGACCCCAGGGCCTCTGCTGAGCCATCCCAGCCCTCACTGCACTTGACTTTGAAGGCCATCTGCTGGGGCAGCCTGTGGTCCTCATCCCAGGGAAAGAGGCTTTGGTCCCTGGAAGGTGACAAGCCTAACACCAGGCCACACCAGCACAGTGAGAGAGCAGGAAGAGAAACCAGAACCTCCTGTCTCTTCATGGCCTGGGGCATTGACAGACGGGGACAACTAGAATTGGGCCATGTTGAGGTTTCCCTGTGGCACCCCACTTCCAAAGCCACCAGGTTACACGGAGTGTTGTTTTCCTTTCCTTCTTGGGGTCACAAAGTTTATCTTTGTCCCAGATAATCAGCAGTTGCATTGGGACACACACACACACACACACACACACACACGCACACAGTTCCTGGCCATCACTAATAGAGAATCCAAAAACAGCTCACAGATGTCATGACCTGGAGGCTGCTAGACTAAAAAAGCACAGTGTTTTCAAGCATCTACAAAGCTCTGGCTTGCACCACGAGTGCAAACATTCACTGAGCACCCACAGTGTCCCGGGCACTGAGCTAGCCAGGGCTGGAGGACCTAGAGGTGGGCAGGGTGGATTAGACCTTGCTCCCTGTGGTGCCCTCAGCCAGGCCCTCTTGGCCACCCTGCCCTGTGGATAATCATGCTTGCTCCCTCCAGCAACCCCGCCTACTGCTCTGCTTTGTCCCGGTGGTACCTGTTATCATCTTGTGGTTCTAGATTTTGCTTTCCTGTCTGTTTATCGCTTCCTTCTCTGATGACAACAGGGGTGTCTATTTTTGAGGACTGCCATACTCTCAACACTTGTAGTAATCTCTGAAACCCAGAGGACCCTCAGCGCACAGCTGTTGAAGGGATGGACATCGAGCAAATGAAACCACACCTATAATGCACATGTGCATACACACAGACCTGTAGTTATCTAATATTCCACTGTAAACACAGGTGCTTTGGAGAGTTATCAGTACTTGGGGGTGGCACATGCTGGGTAGTTGGAGAAAACTTCCCTGAGGAAGCTGTGTTTGAACTGAATCCTAAAGCGGATGTTTGACTTGGTGGGGAAGGATGGTCATGAGGGAAAAAGGAGTGGCTTCACAGAGGTGCAGTGTGTGCAGAGGTCCTGAGGCAGGCAGGATGGTCATTATCTGGGGTAAAGCAAAAGAGGTCACAGTGGTGGGGTGTAGCAACAAAGCAGCTTCTGGATGGCCTGGGGGCCTAACCATGTGGATCTTACTCTACAGACCACAGGGAACCCCAGCAAGGATTAAAGCAAAGAGGTCCTCAGTAGATTTACAGTTCAGAAAGATCACTTCCCTGCTAGGCAGAGAGAGACCAGGAGTCATTACTGGAAGACCAAGCAGGAGGCTTCTCTAGTTTCCAAGTGGGAGAGGTGTGGGTCTGGATGGGGCTGGGCAGCAGTGTGGAGACCAGCGTGGACAGGTTGGGGTCAGGAGGGGGTCCGAGGCCATCGGCCCTGCTTGTGTGGCTGTGGTGCTTGGGGACAGAGGCCATCCACCTTTCCTTGGAAAGGGCCCAACAGTAAATATTTGCAGTCTCACAGGGACGTGGAAAGAGCCAGCGAAGTAGGCTGATGTCCTACAGATAGGGCTGGCCCAGACCTTGGCTGGGGCCTGGCACTATGGCTTCCAAGATGCTTCCCAGGGCACTGAGTGGCACGGCTGTCCTGGGTGTCTGGGACACTGAATTCTACTTAGACTGAGGCCTGGACCCTTTGCACCAGCCTCCCTAGGGCTGTGATGGATCACATATGCAGATAAGCTCTCTGTGTGCTCAACAAACACTCTATTAGCACCTGAGTCTGATGATGGGCAGGTGTCACTGGGCAGAGAACCTGCACTCTGGTGCTGCGTCTGAAGGCTGGAGGAGGGAGTATGTGTAGGGCTCTCCTTCCCTGTGGGAGGAGGGGCGGGGAAGCCTCAGCCTGGATGCCTACAGACTCCGCCCAGAGGGTCCTTCCTCTTGCTAAGGACAGAAGAAATCACACCAGGAACATCAGTGCTTCTGAGCCCTGCAGTCCTTCTGGAATCCCTGGAGGTGTGGGTGGTCTTGGGACCCGGACACAGGGGTCTATCAAGGACTCGGCTGTGCCTGTGTAGCGCTGAGGCAGCACTGGTCATACATAAACACTGCCGAGGCTGTGTTCCACTGCAACTCCATTTAAAACAAAGGCAGAGGGCCTGGCTTTTGACCACAGGCAGAGCCAAGAACTCACACTAACACAGAACCTAGGGCCCGTGGAATCCACTTTGAGAACCTCGGGCTGAGTTCAATATGTTCAAGTCATGAGTGGACCAGAAGGAGAAAGAGAAGGAATTTGTCTAGCAGCAGAAGCAGGACCCCTGTCCTACCTCCCAGCCCAGTGTGCTCTTTGCCATGCCCTGAAGATGGGCACTGGCCTGGGCATTTTTTGATCACCAGAGTCACCTCTGAAGTTTCTTAATAACAGACCCCAGGGGCTGGGGAGGTAGCTCAGTGGTACAGAGTCTGCCTACCACATGCAAGGCCCCAAGCTCCATCCTTAGTGCCAGAGAAAGAAAAAAAGATACCAACGTGCTGTTTCAGAGTCACAAAAACAGCATCCCCAGGCTGGGGCCTGGAACCTGCATTTTAACTAGTTCCTGGGTATTCTGACAATCCACCAGGTTTGGAAACTCTAGGAGAATCTCAGAACTTCCTGACTAATGACCTCAAGAACCAAGGAAAAGAAGCCCACAAGCAGAGGAGAAAAGGGGAAATCTGTCTGGGATCAAGGAACAAAGTGCAGGCCTGACAGAAATACACAAGCAGAGCTTTAGGGAACTTTTCCAAAGTTGCTGCCCCATGTGAGCCTTGACGGCTGCAGGTTGGTGCAGCCAACAGTCAGGAGCTCATTTCCTTCTTCCCAGGGATCCTGCTTGAGAGTCAGGATGCAGTGCAGGTATCCACGGTGCCCTGAGCTATGAGGCACAGCTGACGGGGACAGAAAGGAGCTGTTTCCACCCTCACTGTCCCTCATCCTCACCAAAACGCGGTACAGGTATGCCACGCTAACTAACTAGCATCCCACAAGCATTTCCACTCAGGCTTCCAAAACCAGGTGGCCAAAAGCCACAGGCATCAGATTTCTTGCAAGCTTCCCATTCTAACTGAAAATTACAGGCAGATTCTGTGGGATCTATGCTCGTTTGTTTTCACTCGCCCACTTCAACATCTCTGAGTGTCTTATTCTGCTCGCTACAATTAGCTGAGGACCTTTCGGTGACAATGACACCTGGGATCTGGCCCTGGGAAGGATTCGTATGAACTGGTCCAGGTTGTGCTCTAGGACTGGGATTTTCCAAAGTTCCCCAAACAGACACTCCTGACAGTGAAGGGTGAGGACCCCGGGCCAGAGCCCTGCTTTCACCGGGCATGTCACCATGTGCCCACCCAGACAAAGCTGGGCACAAACACCGCTCATAACGCAAAACCCCAAGTGCCCAGCCATAGACAACCACAGGCGAGCCGATCTCTCCAGTCCTGTGTTCTCTGAGCTGTACCCACAAAGAGAACGGGGTGCCACCAAGTTCCCCTCACTGACAAACCCCTCGGAGGTCTGTGGTGTTGGAGAGGAAAAAAGTGTTTGTAATTCGGACTCTTAGCTGAAGCGTAGCGTTTGCTTCAGTGATGAACTCAAGGGTAGGCAACAAACTGCAGCACTATTAGCAACAGGAATCCCAGGCCTTTACCTAGCACTGCACAACTGTCTCAGAACAGCACTTATGCTCAGCAGTGCTTTGAAATCACGCTACAGACTGAGCATCCCCAATCCAAAAACTCAAAATGCTTCCAAATGTGAAACTTCTCAGTGCTGACTGTCACTGAAAGTGGGAAGTCCCACACCATGAATCTTCACTTCATGCATGAAACTGTTAAAATCATTCTATAAAATGACCTTTAGGCCGTGTATGCAAGGTGTATATGAACCAAATGAATTTCATGTTTAGACTTGGGTCCCCAATGCATCTCATTATGTATGTACAGAATATTTTGAAATCTGAACATAATCCCAAATTCAAAACATTTCTGGTCCCAAGCATCTTGAATAAGGGATACTCAACTTGGAGTTATCAGACCCATAGCTAGATCTTGCTGTTTAAGAGACTGATAAAAAAGTACCATATTACAAATTTGCCCTTTAAAACTGTTTTTCTAATTGCATTCTAATATACTTGATTTCCTATGTGTTAGTTGATCCATTTAAAATTACTGTCCTGAGAAGGGGTCCCCAGGCTTCTGACTTTAACTGGCCACTGAGTCTCAGTGGCTGGTGACCAGCTCTGTACAGCAGTCCCTCGTGGAGGTGGGAGATGCTGCTCATGGAGCAAGCAGCCCTTACCTGTGGGTCAGAGAGCCGGGAGATGTCAGGGTACAGGTAGAACTTGATGCCTTCAGCAGCCCCCGGCAAAGTGATCCCTCGGATCAGAAGGATGAGAAGCATGACATAGGGGAAGGTCGCAGTGACATACACAACCTGCCCAGGAGAGAAGAGGACAGAATCAAGAGAGGTGCCAGTGACAGGCTCACTCTGAGCAGCATGACGCCCTCAAGTCCATTTGCACTGCTGCCCATTGCAGTTTGTCCTTCTGGAAGGCTGAGCAGTGCCTCAATGTCTGTCTGCACAATGCCATCCTTATCCACATCTGTGTCCCAGCCCCAGAGAGACATGTGCTGCCATCCCCCAACATCCAGGGAGGACTGGCTCCAGGCAACACGCAGTCGCCTCGGACAGAATGATGTAGGACTTGCACAGCACCTACACATCCTCTTGTCTACTTTAAATCAACTCTGGATGACACAGGACATCTAATGCAATGTGAACACCCCTGTGTAAATAGTCATACATCATATTACTTAGGGAATGGGATGGAGGAAGAAGTCTACATGTTCAGTACATAGGCAAATCTTTTGAGAAATATTTTCTATCCAAGGTTGGTTGAATCCACAGATCCTGTTACAGTTTTGACGGCCCCTAAAGCCTCATGCACTCGTAGGTGGGGCTTTTGGGAAGTGATTGGATCATGGGGACGTGATAATCATCAGTGGATGAGTCCACTGCTGAGGTTACAGCTGAATGTGATGTTGGGAGGTGAAGCCTGGAGGGAGGAGGTGGCCACTGTGGCCGTGGCCTGGAAGGGTTGTCTCCTTTTTCCTCTCTTGGTGTCTCTCTGCTCACCATCTGTTTTTCCTCTACCATAGCCCTGTGCCATGATGTCCTGACTTAGAGCCAGCAGACTATGGACTGAAGCCTCTGCAAACTGTGAGCCTAAATCAACCTCTCCTCCTTAGAGATGTGGGTGTTGGGTATTGTGTCTAAGCAACAAGAAAATAACTGAGACAAATGCTGACTCTGTGGATAAAGAGGACCATCTCTACTGCATGATTCCACTTAAATAAGGTATCTAACGTAGTGGGTTCACAGAATCAAAGTGTGGCGTGGTGGCTGAGGGGAGGGAGAAAGAGGTGCTCACTAATCAGTGGGCCCAAAGAGAGCTCCAGAGATCTACTGTGCACCACTGTACCCGGGGTCCCAGGGGTGCAGTGTATGCTTAAAGGTGTGCTAAGGGGTAGAGATCATGTCAAGATTCTCACCTCGCACAATAAACTAGAATTTAAAAAGAGAAAAAGAAGGCCAACAGTTGGGTAGCCCACAGGGAGCAACGGGCACCACAAAGACAGGACTCCCTTGACTCATCTACCACCAGGGCTGGGCTGGAGCTGGCAGTGGACATCTGCAAGGGTCTCTCCCAGCTCCACCACATGACCATTAAACATTTGTGACCACGGTCATAGAAAGAGACATCTATCACAACCCAGTACATGTAGAGCTGGAAAGGAAGTTTCACAAAGTCACTGACACATGTGTTGCAGGATGACATCGCCTCTACTCTGTTTCATTTTGGTAACAAGCTGGTCATAATCCTCTAAATTCATTTCATAACTTGCCAATGGGCCAAGACCCACATTTCTGAAAAAATACTGCTCTTAATAAAAATCAAGGTCTTATAACCAAAGATAGGGTAGGGGAGGAGAAGGGAGGAGGAGAAAGAAAGAACAGAAAGGAAGGAAGGTAGGGGAGGGGAGAAAATTGGCATTTGTCTGAAATCTTTTCAGCTTGGTGATTGGACTCTAGGAGACTAAAGACTCTTTCAGCTGGTGGCATTGGTATAAGAACGGAGACTGTGAGAAACAGTGCCCTGTGCCTAGGGGGAGCCTCCCACCCCTTCCCATCCAAGGTCCTGCCAGGGGCTGATGTGTCTCCTTTGTCACCTCCTCTGATTACTCAGTTCTGTCCCTGGGGGGAGCCTCTTTGCTCCATCTGCTTAGACTATCAACTTGTCAACACGCAGTGCCAGGGACCCTCCTAAGACGCGGAGGGAGCTCCAGATCCCCCAAAATGTTCAGAGATGCGGAGCTGCGTGCTGACTCAGGCTCCCCAAGTGAACACCCATGTGCCGAGACCTCCCCTTCTAGTTCACTCAGCACTTCTCTGGCAGTGGCTCAGTCCTCTCCACCCACTCACTCACTCATTCACTCAGCCTCTCATCCACTGAGCACACACTTGCTCCAACCCCAGAGACACTCCTGTGTGCTGAGGACTGAGCTATGTCTTGCAACACACAAGTAAGGATGAATCACGGGACAGTAACTTCTGTCCCAAGAGGCTTCCCGGTGGTAGAAAGAACAGATGTGTAGACAGGCAGACAATGCACTGTATAATCAGAGGTGGGAAGGGTGCTGGAGCACAGAGAGGAACCAGTCAAGAAGGGCTGTTCCAAGGTGATCAGGATATTGGTCCAGAAACGATGGCCAGGAGTTCAGGACCTGCAAAATGGGGGTGGGAAGAAGAGGGAACAAAGTTCCTGCTACGTACCAGGCCCACATCATGCACACGTGATAATAACCATGGCTACATGTATCAGCACTTCACCACCCCCAGTGGCCATGCTCCGACAAGGCGCAATTACCTTCTTACATGAGGAAAGTCAGAGAGCTCACCAGACACTTGTCCAAGGTCACCCAGCTACTGAGCAGCCACCAGACGTGGGACTCACAGCAAGGCCTGATTGTCTCCAGTCATGTGTTCAACCCTCAGGCTGTGTATGCACTGTCAGACAGCCATGCAAACGCTGTGTTTTTCTCTCCATTTCTGGGATATGATGCAGAGAAGTCAGTCATTCCATTAGTGTGTGTTGTGGTTTAGATCTCAAATGTCCTCCCAGATCCTCCTGTGCGTGGAAGGTATGTGGATCATGGGGGTGCTGTACTCATCAGTGGACTCATCCGTGGATGAGCTCCATAGCTGATGTGCTTTTAAGAGGTGCCACCTGGTTGGAGATGGGACACTGGGGAGGTGAACTGGAAGGGTGTATTCTTGTCCCAAGCTTGGCTTCTCCCTTCTCTCTCTGCTTCCTGGCTGCCATGAGCTGAGCAGCTCTCCTCTGCCAGGCCCTTCCACCATGCTGTTTCTGCCTTGGAGCCAGCTGACCATGGACTGAAACTGTGAGCCAAAATAAACCTTTTCTTTAAGTTGTGGCTTGTGGGTATTTTGTTCCAATGTTGGGAAAGTGACAAGACATGACAAAGCAGATATTTACATCCAGACCTCAAAAAAAAAAAAAGAAGAAGAAATAAAGAAAGAAAAGAAAAGAAAAGAAAAAAAAGGAAATCAGAATCAGCAGAGGGTGGTGACAATGGGCCCTATGGGCACAAACTGGAAAGTTGCATTATTTTATCCAGACTCTATCCCTATAATCTACAATGATGGCACGACCCCAACCTGCTCAGCCCCTAACTTACCAATTCTGCATCCTGTTTCCAAATCCATCAGCTCAATCTATGCGTTACACAATCAACACATGCTCTTGCTGTCATACATAATGTCATGTGTAATCCAGAAAAGGTGCACACAAGTCCAATACATAAAAGAGGACAGCAGTTGATATTAATAATAAAAAGTAAGAGGCCAAAGCCAGGTACACTGGTGCATGTCTGTAATCGCAGCACCTGGGAAGCTGAGGCAGGAGGACTGCCACCAGTTTGAGACCATCCTGGGCTACACAATGAGTTCAAGGTCAGCCTGAACTACACAGTGAGACCCTGTTTCATAAACAAAAGAAAGAAAGAAAAAAAAAAGGTAAGAGGCCAGCAATCAATAAGAACTAATGGTTCCTGCCCAGAGAGCTAACATGCTATAAAATCTCCAGCTGGACTTAGCTTTCTCAGCAACATGTAAGAGAGATTTTCCGTATTTCATACAAATTATTGATTCTTTCCCTCCAAAATAAATCCCCTCAGTCGGCTTGCTTAAGGCCATTAAAAGTCTCAAAAATTGGATGCTTCCACTGAATAATTTCCACTTGTCTCTGTTGTGTGACAGATTAATTATCCACAATGTCAGGAGCTGCCTTGTTCTAGATTCATGATGTTTCTCCAGCTTAGCTCTCTAACTTCCTGTGGTTACACAATTTAAGGAAAAGAACATTATCACGTAAAACATATGAACCACTCAAAATCAGGAAATGTGTCCTTTACCTGGGAAACCACTGGCAGAATGTGCCAGGGGCCCCCTCAGGGCTCAAATATTATGTTAAATTGTGCAGTTTGGCGACAGGCACAATCAGGTCCCTGACAAGGGACCATCAGGCTGGCTGTCCCTGGCTACTGCCTGGGGTAGCTCAGCCCAGAGAGGTGGGTGTGGGGGAAGGAGGAGGTCCAATCTGTCAGACCTCTCAGGCCTGTGAAATGAGGCCTGGAGCACACCCTTTGGTTAAGAACGAGTTTTTGACAATTGTTTAATTCCCTTTCAGCAGGTCAAGTCCTTCTGAATATAAAGGTTAGCAGGATTGGTGGTAATTATACTGTATCCTGTCTTAATTGACTCTAATTGCTCATTTGCATCCCAATGCTGGAATTGTAGGGTGTTTATCCCCCTGCTTCCAGGACACAGCTATTTATTTCATAGTAGGGAGATTGTCTGATCATTGGGAAGGTCACAAAAGTTGTAGAAGGGCCACCCCTCCTTAAGTTTCTCAGGATAATGGGGTCAATTGGAAAGCTTGGGGTTGTTCAAAAGGCATTTGGAAAGCAGTATGGTGTGGGGGCAAGAACCCAGGACCCAGGTCAGCAGATCCAATGCGCTGGGCAGCTTGGGCAAGTTCCATACCCTCTCTGCACTGGCAGTCTACAAAGAGACAGGGGAGACTCATTCAAACTTGAATCACTCTTCCACGGTCTTCCAAAACATTTCCCACACTAGGTGTAATGGGAATCTTTACATTCTTGCTTCGTATTTTCTATAAATCTGTGTGCTTTCTGATGTTAGCAGGTATATGTAATAAGAAAACTGGATTACCACTGTCAACAGAAAACTATTATCCATGACCACAGATGAAAGGTCACTACAAAAATAAATGCAGCGAAAATAAAGTACGATTAAATTCTAGCTAAAGGCTCTTCGTCAGCTCTGCTTGG